CAGATTTCAGGTAGGCCTGCAGCGGGGGCCACCATATGCCTCCAGGCTCCCAGGAGTTCACCCACGAGCCACGTTGGGGTGAAGTCGGAGGGGCCAGGCGGGGTGGAGTACAGGTGCTCAGCGATTGGGGCGTATCGCATGCCCGCTTTGACGAGCTGAATCAGCAGGGTCCCGCCCAGGAGGTCGAGGGCGTGCCTGTTAGGTGGCTGGCCAAGGTCTGCTCCTGGGTGACTCTGAAGTGAAGCATCTGCTCGCGGCTCCTCTGGGTTGTAACTCCAGGGGCTGGCCAGTCTGTGGCAAGTGATACAGGTTTGTCCTGTGGGATCTCGGAGCATGCAGGTGCCACAGAAATTACATCTCTCTCCTGGGCAGAAAAAGTCCCGCAGCCGCAGTCTGTGAGCTGTGGTGGACCATGGCCACGCGTCGTCGCTGCTGTCGCTTCCTTGGATGGGGACTCCAGGGATGCCCGCGGAGCTGGCGGGTATCCCCGAGAGGGCGGCCTCTACCCATGGGACTGGGCCTCTACCTGCTTGTCGTCTCGAGTGCACATCACTTCCCATACGCTCGAGGTTCCCTCTCGTGATGGCCCACTGCCTGACTTCCCCATGGCCCTGAAAGTGCACTATGTTTTGTCTGCGCTCGTGAATCAGGACGCGATGGGCGTAGCCCATGGCCTCGTCATCCATGGGGTCCTGCGCCCCGTCTGCTCGATTGGGGCCACTGAAGTGCAGGGGGGCAGAGTCATCAGGGGATCTGGTGGGCATGAGCATCCTATATGTGTCAAATCCGCTCGGGAGCTCCATTCCTATGTCGCAGTAGTGTGCAGCTGCGGCCATGGCAACGTACTCGAGCCGCGCTAGCTGCCTCTCAGTCACCGAGGGGTTGGCTGCATCCAGTCTCTCCCTCCTTATACTGGGATCATGAGTAATGCTCGCAAAGCGGAAGGCGAGGACCTGGACTGGGTCCAGTTGAACGCCTCCCAGACGCCCCTCGTAGTCTCCTCCAGCGATGGACCATACTAGCCAGGCGTGGTCCAGGATAGCGAGAATTGGGGCTGAAGTGGCGATCCCAGAGTAACGTCCAGGGAGGGCTGGTTCTACAGGAGCCGTGCGCATAGGGGCTGTCGGCTCGTATGCCTGGGCGGCCTGGGCGGTGCCTCTTCTACGCGTGGTGCATGAGGAGCTCCAGGTTGCTGGTCTCACGAGATGTTCTCGGCGCTCCGCGGTTGGGGACCTCGCGCCATGGACCCTCAGTGCGCACAAGGTGCCGGCGTAGTGCCCTCATGGTTCCCCCCCTGCCAGAGATCCTGGCGTCTGCAACGCGCGGGCCACAGATGGGTCCGTCCGCCTCCCGGCTGGCCGCCAGTCAGGTGCCCAGTGGCGTCCAGCCACCGTGCGTGGAGGTCCGCAGCGCTTTGCCCTCTACTCCTCAGCGCTTGGCTGGGGTCGTCAAGGTCTGAGGGGGTGGGCGGGCCCTCCATTCGCAGCTCATCTTCCAGGGCGAGATCTGGGGATGGGCAGGAGGGGGGGTCCGTGAGGACGGGACCCCTGCGGGCCGTGTGGCTGACCTCGAGGGGCGAGCCGCTGTCCGTCCAAAGAAGAGGCCCCCGCTCTCTGCCCTGTGACGAGTAGTCAGGTCCACGACGGCACTCACCGAGCGCAGCGTTAAGAAACTCGAGCCCAGGGGGCGGGTCAGGAGGGAAAAAGTCGGGGGAAGAGCTGGTGGACGAGGGAGGAAAGGCACGAGGAGATCCAGCCGCCGGGATCGGAGACCTTGCCCGATCGATCCGATCGACCTGAGGAGCGGACCCGACCGCGGGATCGGAAGCAACCCTGGGGTTGCTGGGCGAACGAGGAGGCCCGTCAGGCCTTCCAACAGCCAATCCCACGGCGAGACAGAGGCGATCGATCATCCCTGTGGAGGAGGGCGTCTCCCTGCGATCACTGGAGCCGGGGACCCCCGGCTCTCGCTCCCCTCCCTCTGGCGCGAGGCAAGGCCCGTGGCCTGCTCCTGAGAGGCAACGGGAGGCCGCGGTATCCGCGTGTATACTGACGACGCTCTCCCGTCCCGCCTCTGCGGGGGCTGGGTCACAGGTCATGTCTTCCCTCTGCCAGCGATCCCTGGGTTGAACGCCGTGCGCCTCTCTCTGCGCGCCGTCGTCCAGTCCAGGGTAGCGACGGAAGGTCGCACGTTCTGTGTGCATCGCGGGGGGAGAACCTCGCCCCCTCCAACAGTGTCGCGCCTAGCGCTCTCGTCTCCAGTGGGTCGACTGGAGGCGGCAGCGCTAGGGTGTACATAACCACCGCACCCCCGTCCAACCCCCGTGGGGGTAGGGCCCCTGGTCCTAACTCCCACATCCGACTGATCCCTGGGTCGAACGCCTTGGGCCTCATCCAGCCTTCCGCCATCCGCTCCAGGGCAGCGACGGAAGGTCGCACGATGTGTGTACATCAGGGATGTCTTCATCCCCCCCCCCCCCCCCCCTCTCCAGCATTATGCCTGCCGCTCTCGGGTCCGCGGGAGCGGTCGAATGCTGCATCGGCGGCGGGATGCTCTTCACGGGTGGAGGGCATGGCTCCACCGCTTAGCTCGCCAGCGGGGACGGCCTCACTCAGCGCGGGCACGCCCGGGGGGGGGGGGTCGGCGGTGGGTTGGCGTGAGCCTTGATAGAGCGTGCCGGGGCTGCGGCCAGCGACTTGCCCGCTCCTGTCGCCTATGCCCTCGTGAGCGTCCCCCGAGGGTATCAGCTCCCTGAGCGCACCACCCGAGTCAACCTGGCCCCTGGGGAGACCGCGGCCATCTGTTCATCGTCAGTTGACCTACGCGAGACTGGATCCGCGGGAAGGTTTTGTACCGAAACGAAGCCCTCTCCCCCCGTAGCCCTGGCACCGCCTAGGGCCGCTTCACTCTGTCCGACAGCGCCTGGAGAGAAGGAAATTGGACGTCCTGCAGCGGGCATGGGAGCGGTGGGGGTGAGAGAGGCGGCTGGGTTAGACAGGAGGTCTTCGCGCCCACGGTCATCGCATCCAGGGGAGCGACGGAAGGTCGCAGCCTCGGGCTGCCTTCTGCAAACGTTGTCACGACCATCCCCCACGGGGGTCAGCTCCCTGGTGCATTCTTCCCCTACACACCGTTCCCTGGGCTGAACATCGCGGGCGTTCCTCTGCCCGTCGCAGTCCGTTCCAAGGTAGCGACGGAAGGTCGCACGTTCTGTGTGAATTGTGGGGATGGCCGCGCTACCCCCTCCTTGAATGCTGCGCCTGCCGTTGTCAGGCTCCTGAGGGTGGCCTGGAGTGGCGTCAGCATCGATGCGCGCGCCGTAACCTGAGGACATGTCTTCCATGCTCGAACCGTTGCGGAGAGCAGCCTCACTCGGGGCGGCCGCATCCAGAGAGGGGGGCACGGCGGAGTGAGGGCAAAAGCCCCTAAGATGCGCGACGGGGCCAAGGCGACATGACTGCCCGTCTCCCCCCACTTCGCCTTCATGGGCGCCTGCTGGGGGTGTCGGGTCCATACAGTCCCCATCCACGCCATCAAGGCCCCTGCGTCGGGAGCCGAGGGCAACTCCCAGCTCGTCGCGGAACTGTCCGAGAGGAGGGGCGTTCGTGGGAGAATAACCCGCTTCAGGAGTGGGCCCTTCGGCCCCCGTGAACCTAGCATCGGCATGGGCGGTCCCGTTATGCCCAGCGCTGCCTGGAGGAAAGGAGAGTGGGCGTCCAGCCGTGGGCAGAGGAAGAGTGGGGGTAAGGGAAGGGTAGCTGGGCGGGAGGGCCTCATGCCTGTCATTATTAACTCCAGGGTGGCGACGGAAGGTCGCGCTTTCAGTTTGAAACGGAGGGCCGAACGTACCAACCCCGTCTACCGCTGCGCGTCCGCCGATCTCAAGTCCAGGGTAGCGACGGAAGGTCGCACGTTCGGTGTGTATCGCAGTGTTGAAGGGGATCAGCCCCTCCCTCCGATTGGCTGGGGGCCATCTGTCCTCGTGTACCCGAAGCATCGGCCGAAGCGCTCCCATTCCAGGGAACAGGGGGCGACGGTTGCCCCGGCGGGATGGTGTCCTGAGATCCAGGGCGAATATGTCCTGAGTCATTTGGCCCAGTGGTCCCGAGGCCGACATCGGATGATGCGGCTCTTTCCCCCACAGGGATGACAGGATTGTCGCCGATCGATCGCAAGCTATCAGGCCGACCATCCATGAGGCAACTGCCCTGATCCGATCTGAGCCGCGGGCCGCTGAGCCCGTCTGCGCGGCGGGAAGGCTGCAGCAATGGCTGGCGCGCCCAGGGGCCGGTGGGTGGGGGTCCAGGGCCGCGGGCCCCCGGCGCAGCGTCTGGGCGCCCCCTTGAGCGGCGGGAGACTACCCCGGAGAGGGCAGGCCCACCAGACGGCTTGAGCCAAATGGCTACGGCTGATGGGGCTACGCGAAGCGTCTAGAATAGGGCTCTCGCTTGAGACGTCCGACAACGCTGCGTCGATACGTTCGAACATGTGTAACACTTAAGCGGACGGAAAGCAGATCTTTTCAAAAACGGGCAGTCGCTGGCCACGTCCCTGGACTGTATCATCATACCTCCTTGCGCATCTTCTGGCTGGAAGAATGGCAGGCGCATCCTTCACTTGACGGGGTCTCGCCTGAATGGCAGGCCCAACGGGCGTTCGGTATTCCAGTGAGGCACTTCCCGCAGAGCCAAAGAATAGTTGGAGGAATTGATCAGAAGGAGACTTGGGACGCCAGGGTGTAATGCAGCATCGGTGACGCATCCTGGGTTTACTCTGGCCCCCTCTTCCTCCTGCTCTCCTCCTCCACATCCGCATTCGCTCCTTTCTCACCTGTCTTCTCTTCCTCCGATTCCTCTTCCTCCTCCTCCTCCTCCCAGTCCTCCCCCTCCTCCTCCTCCGATTCCTCCCCTTTCCGACGAAGCAGCCACCGTGTCTGCCACTCGCCCCCATCCGCCTCGGCCCCCAAAAATTGTTATCGCCCCTCCCCAGGTGGGTCGCGCCTCAGCTGCCGCGGAACTTGCCCTGGCGGGCCACACCAGGCGGGGAGGAGGGAGTGGAGGAAGAAGAAGAAGAGGGGACCACGTCTGTCCACGAGCACGTTGTACACTCCAGCAGCCCACGTGGCTCTGTAGAGCCAGAGATGGATGTTGTGACGAATGAGGTGGAACATGGAGAAGGAGGAGGAAGAGGAGGAGGAAGACACGCAGGGCGTGTTAGAACACCGTACGCCCATTGCACCCCCCCCCCCCTTCGCCAGCCCTACGGGTCACCAGCGTGTCAGATCCTGCAAGCAGGCGTATCTGGCGATATGCATCATATATTGCGCGCGCGAGTGCGCTCTTTCGGTGTATGCAGACCTGACTGGGACCGAAGTCGCTCCAAAAGCCCCTGAAATCGTTCAAAGAGCACTCGAAGTTTGGCGCGAAGGAGGGGGGGGGCTTCTTAGAGAGAGGCTGCCTCTTAGAAAGCGCCGACAGCCCTTCTAAGAAGCCGGGGGCGCGCCGCTTCTTCGAAGCACCCCAGCAGCTTCTCAGAAGCACGGAACAGCTTCTTGGGAGCACGGAGCAGCTTCGTAGAAGCGTGCCACCCGCTCCTGGAAGCACGCCAGGAACAGCTTCTGCGAAGCAGCCACCAGCTTCTTAGAAGGGGCGCCCACGCCTTCTAAGAAGGGAGTAGTGCTTCTAAGAAGCCCTGCCCATTCCTGCCACCGCCCTTTGCGCATGGCCCACGAAGAGCGGGCGGCGCGCTCCGAGACCGCGGACCAGTGGGTGACAGGCCTCATGCTGGCCCTACGGTGGCCCTAAGATAGTTCTAAGATGCTGCATCATGCGGAATGGCCAAGGATGATCAAAAATAGCCTCACGGACACCCAGACGGGGCAAAATGGACGAATCACATGTGATCGGAGGCTCCCAAGGTTACAAAATCATCTGACCTTGTGAGTCTCGAACGCTCGCTACTCCCTGCTGCCTTCCATAAGAGAGAAGCCTCGCGCGAGCACCATTGTTGGCGGGTGCACGCGGCGACCAGCACCAGGTTGTGAGGCGCGAGGCTGTCTGTGCCACGGCCCGCAGGGGCCACACCTTCCCTCGCACCCTCGTGCTGCAAGGGCCCTCGGTCCAGGAACGGGGTGGGCAAGTCCACAGCACGGCTCCTCGCATGGCGGTCATAGGCAATTCTTCCACGAATGCAAATCTGGCGCTCTGGGCGGATGGCTGGCTCAGGGCCCTAAATGCGACTTCCCCGGCCTGAAAAGATGTTGCTCTCGCTGGGCGAGCTGGAGCTTCTCCAGCAACACCACTCCTTCTGGATGTCTCCGCCTCCTGCGCACAGACTGGTGGCGCCTCAATTGCGATTTCTCGACCTGGAGATTCGTCGCTGGCGGCGCCTTGTCACGATCAGTGCCTGGGCCCGGATGGAGCCCCAAAGGGACTCGCGATAGATGCGCAGCTGGTCATAGCAACCACAGAAATTCCCCACAAGTGCTGAATGGAGCAAGGGTTCGAATGTTATCATCCCCGCAAACTCTTTGATACCACTTGTCCCCCCAGCCGGCCGCACTTCGTCGTAGCCGAATGGGGCCAGCTTCTCGGCCCGCCACCATCGCGGCGGTCGGTAACAGTGACCTCCGTCTGGATGTGTTCCATGACGAGGTACGTTCCTCCTACGTGTTCTTGGACTCGACATTGCAACGGCTCTTGTCAATGCGAAAGGCCGCTTACAGCTTGAAACGCACATTCTCTTCGACGAGTTCTTACCATTGAAGAATCATCTGTGCACGCAATCTAGATGCCCCCAATGGTCACTGCATTGCAGAATACGAATGCCGTTATAGGGTGGCATCGACCGCTGAACACACTTGTCAAATATCGAGGCTATCTACGGTGGTGATGGTGCTCGGTGTTGCCTACCACCTGGACATGGTCGCGTGCGTAGACCTCCAGGTTGACTACGCCTGCCTGACATGGCTGGACAGGTCAGCAAGATTTGAAACATTCCAGAACTGATTCACGATCCCGCCCATGTTTCCAAAGCTTCACTTTCTCTCTCTCTCTCTCTCTCTCTCCCCCCCTCCTTCTCTCCTACTATCTCCCTCCCTCTCTCTCGCTCTCCACGATAGGAGCGGGAGGGCAGGGAGTGAGGGAGAGGGATGGTACATGCTGCTGACGAGGTAGATGAGGAGGGGGAGCGAGGGGTGAAGGGGGGACTCCCAAACATGGTCTCCTCGGCCCCTGTGGCGGGCAATATAAGGGGGGCGCGCCAGGATGTGCAGGGAGCAAACAATGGCCATGAAGACGAGGGACAGCACCAGAACCGTGGTAGGGCCAACCTCTGGCGGCCAACTCCACAGAGAGAGACAGAGGCAGAGCAGTGGGGAGGCACAGAGATAAAGAGACAGAGACGCGGAGTGGAGAGGCGGACAGGCAGGATGAGCTGGAGCTTGAGGCAGAAACTGAGAGCGAGAGAAAGAGAGAGAGAGAGAAAGTGACGGATTACGTGTAGAGGTAGAGACTGGGAGAAACACAGAGAGAGAGAGACAACGTGAGCGAGAAACCTTCAGCCCTGGGGCGTCGTCAGTGTAGAACTTCAGGATTCCACCCTCGCCGCCTGCCTGTGGGCGGCGCTCCATCCCTCGCGGCTGCCCTCGCCGTTTCCCCAGGGCAGGAGCAGGAGTGGGCTCCTTACACACGGTGACGGGGGAAGACAAGGTTGATGGAGGAAGGGGAACAGGCAAGACAGAGGCGAGACGGGGCAAAAGAGACGGAGGGGGAGGCGGAGGCAGTGGGAGAGGGGGGAGGGGAGTGGAAAGCAGGGAAAGGATAGCGTAAATTCGCCGGCCCAACGCGCCAGAGGCGTGCCTCCGGTAAGAGTTGAAGCATGATTCCTGTTCTTGTTCGTACGCGCGTGGCGGCCCCGGGGGGTCCCCAGACGAACATGATCGACCCACGAACCCAGAAAGTGATGTAGAAATATAAAGCACATGAAGCATGGAAACGCTTCAAAGCACCTCCACTGGGCGATGGGCAGTGGCAATACTGAAGATATCGATGGTGACGATACTGTGCCAGGGTCTGTGTTGTGCTGCGCTGCGCTGTGCCGTGCCGCAGCGTATCCAGGCCACGCAGGGGGGTATCTAATATGGTTATCCCGAGCTGTATCCACGACTTGTAACGTGTCCAGGCCACCCACGGGGGTATCTCACATGATTGTCCCGAGCAGGGACCACGTGTTTTAACGTGTCCACTGAGGGGTGTATCTAACATGGTTGTCCCGAGCTGGCACCAAGTGGTTTTACATGTCCAGGCCACCCAGGTGGGTATCTTACATGCCTGTCCCGAGCAGGGACCACGTGTTGTAACGTGTCCAGGCCACCCAGGGGGGTATCCAACATGGTTGTCCCGAGCGAGGACCACGTGTTTTTACGTGTCCTGGCCACCCAGGGGTGTATACAACATGGCTGTCCCGAGCAAGGACCGCGTGTTTTAACGTGTCCAGGCCACCCAGGGGTGTATCTGACATGGTTGCCCAGAGCTGGATCCACGTTGTTTTACGTGTCCAGGCCCCCAGCGGGGTATCTAACATGATTGTCCCGAACTGGAACCATGCGTTTTTTCCCGGAAGGGCGCAGGCCCAGGGTTCTGTTTTAGTTCTGTAGGGCTGGCGAATTTCCGCTCGATAAAAAAACGAGGTGAAGTCGAATTCGCGCGGAAAGTGCGCTTCGTGCGTGCCCGCTCGAAAAAAATCGACCCCCATCTCGGATCCTCGATAAATAGCAGGGTCCGCGGACCCCCGTTTTCCTCTTATGACAAAAAGCAAGATAAAATCCAACGCGGCGCGGAAAGCGTGAAAATGTTGAGTTTTTGCGTGCCCGATCGAGGATGGTACCCCGCGCCAAACAATCGAGGATATCTCGAGCGAAACGCTTGTTTTGCAAAACTTGAGTGACCACCTGGGCGCCCCAGCATGCCCCGGAGGCCCTGAGAGCGCGGACGCGGCGTAATCTACAAGGGATCGTGGCGTTTGGAGCGCGGACCACGTGTAATTTGCAAGGGATCGTGGCCCTCGGAGCACGGGCGCAGCGTAATTTACGAGGGGTCGGGGCCGTGGGAGCTCGAACGCAATGTAATTTACGAGGAATCGTAGCCCTTGGAGCGCGGGCGCAGCGTAAAATACAAAGGATCGGGGCCCTGGAGGCTTGGACGCAGCGTGATTTACGAGGGATCGTGGCCCTGGGAGCGCGGACGCAGTGTAATTTATAAGGGGTCGGGGCCCTGGGAGCGCGACCCCAATTTAATGCACGAGGGATCGTGGCCCTGGGAGCGCATTACTTGGGATCGTGGCCCTTGGAGTGCGGGCGCAGCGTAATTTACGAGGGGTCGGGGCCCTGGGAGCGCGACCCCAGTGTAATCTATGAGGGATCGGGGCCCGTGGAGCGCGGGCGCAGTGTGAATTGTTAAGGTTCGTGGCCCTAGAAATGCAGACGCAGCGTAATTTATGAGGGGTCGTGACAGCTGGAGCGGGGGCGCAACGTGATTTTGGACCTCGCCTCTTACCGCATTTCGGTCCGTTCTTGCTCTGTGCGTTCCGTCTTTCTTTGGATTCGCCCCCTCTCGGATCGTCCCGTTTCATAACTGAATCGGAACTTGAGCTCGGCAGCACGGCACAACGCGGCGCAGGACAGCGCGCATTGTTGGCACGTCTATTTCATGGGGTGGTTCGTGGGATGTTTCCTGGAGTGCTTCGTGGGGTGTTTCGTGGGGTGTTTCGTTTGGTGATTCGTGGGGTGTGTCGTGGCTGTTCGTTGAGTGTTTCGTCAAGTGTTTCCTAGCGTGCTTCGTTGAGTGTTTCTTGGGGTGTGTCGCGGGGTGCTTCGTAGGGTGTTTCGTGGGCTGTTTCGCGTTTCGTCTCGTCCAGCATTTCGCAGCACGGCACAGCGCAGCGCAGCTTCTGGCACGGCGCCATCACCATCGATAGATTCATCATTGCTACTGCCCATCGCCCAATCCAGGTGTCTCGAAACGTTTCCATGCTTCACATGTCTATATCAATGTCCGGGTTCGTGGGTCCAGCATGTTACGTGTCCAGGCCACCCAGGAGGGTATCTAACATGGCGTCGGGCCCAACGCCGAAGTATCAGGAAACGCACGGGGGGCCGAACAGCGCTACCCGAACACGTATCCCAATACAGAAAAGTGATGTTGTCTTGTTCTGGACAGGGGGTGGCGCTTTGGGGGCATCTCCAGGGAAGACATTGCGAGGATGTCTCGAGCGGGAGCGCGAATTCAGCGTATCCAGGCCACGCATCGGGGTATCTAACATTGTTTTCCCGAGCTGGAACGTGTGTGTATATGTCCAGGTCAACCAAGTGGATATCTAACATGGTTCTCCCGAGTTTGAACCAAGTGTTTTTACGTGTCCAGGCCACACAGGGGGGTATCTAACATGGTTGCCCCGAGCAAGGACCACGTGTTTCAACGTGTCCAGGCCACCCAGGGGCTATCCAACATGGTTGTCCCGAGCAAGGACCATGTGTTTTGACGTGTCCTGGCCACCCAGGGGTGTGTCTAACATGTCCTCCTGGCATGTTCTCCTGTCAATTAGCTCTGGTCAGCAAATATGTGCTCAGGCAGCTCGAGCTTAAGATCCAGATCAGTTCGGTCAGGACTCGGATGCAAATGAGGACTCGCTCCACAACACTATAGAGCACAATCGCGGCATGACACATCGCAGTTCAGCACGGCGCAGCACAGCACAGCCCTCGGCACGGTACATCAAGGTCGGTACACTCAGCATTGCAACTTGGCACGTTTTTTGGCAAGTTCCGTGGCGCGTCCAGTGGCGAGTCCCCCTGGCACGTCGTGCGGCGCGTCCCCTGGCACGTCCTATGGCACGTCCACTGGCACGTTCTGTAGCGCGTCCACTTGGCATGTCCCGCGGTGCGTCCCCGTGGCACGTCCCCTGGCACATCGCTTGGCGCGTCCCTTGGGACGTTCCGCGGCGCGTCCTCCTAGCATGTCCCCCTGTTAATTAGCTCTGGGGCAGCTACTATATATGTGCTCAGGCAGCTCGAGCTTAAGATCCATATCAGTTCGGCCAGGACTCGGATGCAAAGGAGGACTCGCTCCACAACGCCATAGAGCACAATCGCGGCGTGGCACATCGCAATTCAGCACGGCATAGCACAGCATAGCCCTCGGCACGGTACATCAAGATCGATACACTCAGCATTGCATTTGCCCGTCGCCCAATCAGGTGTCTTTGAAACGTTGCCATGCCTTACAGTTCTACGTTCCTTTCCGGGTTCGTGGGTCGATCATGTTTTAAGCTCCCGGAATCGACTTGCGTAGGGCCGGCGGAATTATTCTGCGATGAATGACGAGATCGCGTAGGAATTCTGATGACTTCTCGAGTGAAACGCTGGTTTTTGAACTTCCGCTCGAGAAATATCGAGGTCCAATGGGATTTTTCGTTTGTTGCGGATGTCTCGAGCGAAACGCTCGTTTTGCAGAATTTGTTGAGGATGTCTTAAGCGAAACGCTTGTTTGGGATCATTCCACGAACCTGGACGCCCAAGGATGCCTCAGAGGGCTCTGGGAGTGCCGACGCAACGTAATTTACAAAGGATCGTGGCCCTGGGAGCGCGGCCGCAACGTAATTTACCAGGGGTCGTGGCCCTGGGAGCGCGGGCATAATGTGATTTACGAGGGATCGGGGCCCTGGGAGCGTGAACCCTGTGTGATTTACGAAAGGATTTTGGCCGTGGGAGCGCGAATCCAGCGTAATTCATTAGGGATCTTGGCACTGGGAGCGCGAATCCCCTGTAATTTACCATGGATCGTGGCCCTGGGAGCGTGCACCCGCTGTAATCGAAAAGTGATCGTGGCCCTGGAAGCGCGAACCCAATAATTTAAAATGGGACTTGGCACTAGGAGCGCGAAGCCCGTGTAAGTCACGAGAAATCGTTGCCCTGGGGGCGTGCATCCGTTGTAATTTTCGAAGGATCGTGGCCCTGGGAGCGAGAAATTCTAATAATTTGCAAGGGATCGCGGCCCTGTCAGCGCAAACCTAGCGTAATGTTCGTGGGATTGTGGCCTGGAGAGCGCGAATCCAGCGCGAATTGCGAGGGATCGTAGTAATTTACGAGGATTCGCGGCTTCGGGTCCAGCGCTTGCTTTTCAGGAAATGTCGGGGAGGGGGCGAAACGCGCCCCCCGAGTACATATCCCAATGCAGAAACATGTTGGTTTCTGCTCTTGAGAGGGGGGGGGCCCTTTTGGGCAACCTCTGCGCGGTGCTTCGCGACCCTGGGGGCGCGGACACAGCGTAATTTCCGAGAGTGCGGAGGCTGCATAATTTACAAGGGATCTTGGCACTGGGAGCCTGGACGCAGCGTAATTTACGAGTGATCGTGGCCCTGGGAGCGTGAATCCCGTGTAATTTACAAGAGAACTTCGCCCTGGGAGCGCGAATGTAATATAATTTGCGAGGGGCCTTGGCACTGGGAGCGCGAAGCCTGCGTAACTTACAAAAAAACTTTGCCCTTGGGGCGTGCATCCGTCGTAATTTTCGAAGGATCGTGGCCCTGGGAGCGAGAAATCCAAATAATTTGTGAAGGATCGCGGCCCTGTCAGCGCGAACTTTGCGTAATTTACGAAAAGGATTGTGGCCTCGAGAGCGCGAATCCAATGTAAATTATGAGGGATCGCGGCCTTGGGCGCGCGGAAGCCTTGTAATTTACGATGAAGCATTGTAAATTTTAAGGGCTCGCGGCCTTGCGTCCAGCGCTTGCTTTTCAGGAAATGGCCTGGAGGGGGCGGAGGCGAAAAGCGCCCCCCGAGTACATATCCCAACGCAGAAAAATATGGTTTCTGCTCTGAAGAATAATTTTCGTGTGGTGTCGGGCCTCTGGGGGCCTCCCCAAGGCGGGAATTTTCGCGTCTGGGGGCTTCCCTGAGCAATAGATTTCGCGTGGTGTCAGGCCTCCAGGGGTTCCCCCTCCCGGGCGGGAGTTTTCTTGGTGTCGGGCCTCTGGGGGCTTCCCTACCAAGGCAGGAATTCTCGCGTGGTGCAAGGCCTCCAGGAAATTTTCGCGCGGTGTCGGGCCTCCGGGGGGCCCCCCTCCCAAGCGGGAGTTTTCGCGCGGTGTCGGGCCTCAAAGGGCCTTCCCAAGGTGGGAATTCTTGCGTGGACGGGGGCTTCCGGAAGCATCCCCGGGCAGGAGTTTTCGCGTGGTGTCGGGCCTCCGGGGGCTTTTCTTCCCCGGGCAGGAGTTTTCACGTGGTGTCGGGCCTCCGGGATCCTTCCTGACGCGGGAGCTGGCACGTCCGCTGGCGCGTCGCCTGGCACGTTCCCTGTCACGTTCTGTGGCGCGTCCCCCTGGCACGTCGCGCGGCGCGTCCCCTGGCACGTCCGCTGTCACGTCCCCTGGCGCGTCTCTTTGGACGTTCTGCGGCGCGTCCCCGTGGCATGTCCCGCGGCGCGCCCCCTGGCGCGTCCCTTGGCGCGTCCCCTGGACATGTAAAAACACGTGGTTCCAGCTCGGGACAACCATGTTAGATACTACCCTGCGTGGCCTCGATACGCCGAATTCGCGCTCCCGCTCCAGACATCCTCGCAATGCCTTTCCTGGAGAGGCCCCCGAAGCGCCACCCCCTGTCCAGAGCAAGAAAACATAACTTTTCTGTTTTGGCATATGTGTTCGGGTAGCGCTTTTGGGCCCCCCGTGCGTTTCCTGATAATTCGGCGTTGGGTCCGACGCCATGTTAGATACCCCCCTGGGCGGCCTGGGCACGTAAAAACACATGGTTCCAGGTCGGGACAATCACGTTAGATATCCCACTGGGTGGCCTGGACAGGTGAAAACACGTGGATCCAGCTCTCGGCAACCATGTTAGATACACCCCTGGGTGGCCTGGACACGTTACAACACGTGGTCCTTGCTCGGGACAATCATGTTAGATCCCCCCTGGGTGGCCTGGACACGTCAAAACACATGGTACCAGCTCGGGACAACCATGTTAGATGCACTTCTGAGTGGCCTGGGCACGTTAAAACACGCGGTCCTTGCTCGGGACAATCATGTTAGATACCCCCCTGGGTGGCCTGGACACACAAAAACAAGTGGTTCCAGTTCGGGGCAATCATGTTGGACACCCCGCTGTGTGGCCTGGACAATTGAAAACACGTGTGGTTCCAGCTCGGGACAACCAAATTAGATACCCCCCTGGGTGACCTGGGACCTTGTGGAGTCTCCTGAAGAGGACCAAACTAGAGGAACATACGTAAAAACACAACGATTCGTGCCCCTGGAGAGGGCCAATCTATGGGAGCACACGTAAGAACAAACGGATTCGTGCCCCTGACCCAAATTTGTCCCGCACCCTGTGATTTTTCGATCGCGATGTCCAAAACCAGTGTTTCGCTAAGGTCATCCTCAACTTTGTAATTCGCCAGCCCTACTCGATATTTATCGCCGAATAATTTCGCAGGGCCCTACAGCCGTCGGGTCCGAGGATCAACAGCTAAAAGAGAACCCTGGGCTTCAGCCCTTTCCGAGAAAAAACGAATGGCTTTGAAGAACACCCCCCCTTGGCAAACCAACATCAGCTTCGAAAAGGAGGGGGGCAGCTTCCGAAGCCCTCCACACCCTTTGAAAGGTAAGCCCGGGTGGCCTTGGGCTCTGGCAAAGGGAGGGAGGTTTGCTTTGAACCCCCCCTTGGCACGGCAATCTCAGCCGCGAAAAGGAGGGGGGGTAGCTTCCGAAGCCCCCACCCTTGAAAGGGAAGCCTGGGCTGACCTTTGGCCCCGAGAAGGAAAGGAGGTAGCTTCCAAGCCCCCCCCCCCTCCTTTAGCTAAGGCCCCCCTGGCTCCGAAATGCTGCCATGGACGAGGTGGAAATGGCCGAGGTGGAAGGCTGGTCAGAGGCCGGGGGGCGCGGACGCGCCGCCCTCGATGCCTGGCCCTTGGGCGCATTGGGAGAGGTTGGGAAGTTAAGGACATACCTAGGGCTCTTTAACAAAAATGGCCATGGAGGAGGACGAGAAGACAGGAAGAGAAAAGAAGGGCAATGAAGAGAAATATTGGCCGGGCTCCAGGTCCACACGCACCAAAAGCAGGAGGGCAGGGGGTATTCTCTGCTGCGGGCCCCTCAAGGGGCATCACCCGACTGCACTGCAAAGATGCGTGAAGGCTGACGCAATGACAAAAACCATGTTGTTGTTCGCCCCAGGGTGCCTTTCGGCCCCCGTTAGATGTAGCCACTGTGCTCCTGCCAGTGCGGCGAGCCAAAGCCTGCTGGGCGGACCGTTCCTCCTCCTCCTCCTCCTGCACCCCTCTTCCTCCCTCACGCCCTCACCCTCGCACTTCGCATCCATCCCCCAAACTCCATCTCACCCTCTTCAACCTCTGGCCTTCATGAACACATTGCAGATATGATTGCTGAGGCGCCTTCCTTTCAAAAGGAGAGTGGGGTATCACTGCGGATGCGGGTACGCCGCGGGGTTGCCATGGGTCACTGTTTTTTTTATACCGCCTGCGCCCAGCACATACGATGATATTGCGCCATCGGGACGCATTCCTTCAGCATCACCAGAGTAGCAGCAGAACGGAGCCGGCGATTGTCGCCGTATCTGCGATCAGGGAATACTCACGGCGCAAATCTTGCAGCCTGAGGAACGCAACCCTTGGCTGAAACTGAGGGCTCAAATCAGCATCATACTCGGAGGATAGGGATGTCTTGGGAGAAAAAGAGAATGGGGCACGAATGGACGGGACGGGACGGAAACGGATGGGGGAAGCGGGACGGGAAGAGAGCGTGGTGAAAAGTATAGGATGAAAATCATTTTGACTGTTTTGAAGCTGTCCACTCCACTGCTCGCGCAAACATCCCACCCACCCGCCCGCAAGTTGGTTTGCAAAATCTCTTAAGACCGTGACGGTGGGTACCAAATGGCACTTGGCAACGACAGCGACGCCGACGACGACAGCGACAACGACGACGACGACGCCGCCGACAACGCCTACGACGACACCAACGACGTCTCCAACGACTTCGACGACGCCGACAACGACGACGACGACTCAGACGACGACTCAGACGACGACGACGACGACGCCGACGCCGACGACGACGACGACGACGATGACAACGACGACGACGATGACGACGCCGACGACGACGACAACGACGACACCGACGACGACGACGACGACGTCGCCAACGACGCCGACGACGACGACGACGACAACGGCGGCGACGACGACGACGCCGACATCGACGACGACGAAGACGACGACGACGCCAACGCCGACGACGACGACGAAGACGACGACGACGTCGCCAACGAAGACGACGACGAGGGAGGAGGACCACGACGGCGACAACGACGACAACGACGACAACGACGAGGAAGGAGGGAGGACGGCGACGACGCGAACGACGAAGAAGGAGGAAGGACGGCGACGCCGACGACGGCAACGACGAGGGAGGAGGGAAGACGACGACGACGACAACGACGACGACGACGACGACGACGACGACGACGAAATAGGAGGGACGACGACGAGACGCCGACGACGGACGACGACGACGACGAGGGAGGAGGAGGAAGGACGACCACGGCGACAACGACGACGGAAACGACCACGACGCCCAAGAGGACGACGACGACGACGAACACGAGGAAAAACAGAGGACGACGTAGGCGACGACGACGACGACGCGGGAGGACGGAGGACGGCGACGACGACGACGACGACGCAAGAGCGCACGCGCACGCTTTTGTTGAAAATCCGTGTTGCGAAACCTTGTGTTCTTGTATGTTTTTTTTGGACACACGATGTTGAAATCCTTCCGAAACCGATGGTTTTTAAAGGATTTCGGCATATGCGCGCGACGACGCGCGCGTCTGCACTTCGTCCCTGTTTTTGCAGAGGATTCTCGCGATGGCACACGCGCAAGGGCGTTCGACTGATTTCGACATGCGCGCGCGAAGCCCGTTTGGTAGCAGCTTGTGAAAATCTTAAGAAACCAATTGTTTTCTTAAGATTTCGCAAGAGCTCGCGCGTAAGTTTTTTTAGCAAATCAGTGTTGCGAAACCCTGTGTTCTTGTATGTTTTTTGGGGAAACTCGATTGCGAAATCCTTCCTTCCGACACCAAAGATGTTTGAAGGATTTCGGCATGCGCGCGCGACGACGCGCGCGCGCGCACTTCGTCCCATTTTTTGCACGGATTCGCGAAAAAGTCTTATGTTAGAACAAAAAAGGTCCCCGCGTATTGTTTCTTTACAAGGGATTCTCAGGGGGAGCGATACCGGCCCCCCTGGGATAGTGTAAATTCATAGTTAGGATGCACATACCCGAAATGGGGACCGATAGCGCCGGGGGGGGGTAGAGTCTATTTATTCTCTTTTTAAAATGGAGAATCAAGAGGGGAGGAGGAGGGGGAGAGGAGTGGAACAGTCCTCCCTTTCTTGCAGAGCGTCACTGCCAAAATCGGAAGAGTGAGCACTTTCCGCGGCACGATGGAAAGACTCCAATCCGCCTCTGCGCCCCGTGGCAAGTTGAAGCGCGGGGCCAAGAGCTGTCTGGCAGAATTCCCATGAGTCTTCTAACCCCACCCCGCGCGATGGGGGTTTCCACAGACACCCGCCGCTTCAAAGACGGCCCAAGAGGGGCCCAGGACAGCCCAAGAAAGCACCAAGATAGCCCGAGAAGGCCCCAAGTGGATCCCAGAAGTCCCAAGAGACACTCTGGAATGCCAAGAGGAGCCGAAGGCAACACCAAAACTGACAAGACCGTCGAGGCGCGCGTGGACGCGCTCGAGCCCTTGTCAGCACACGGGCCAAAGAGGGCTGCAGTCACTCTCCCACCAGACATGTGGCTTACGAGATCAGCTATTCTTTCCCACTTCTTCCTCTTACACCCCCCCACGATCCCACGCCGCAACCTACCCCCCCCCCCCCCCCCCTAGCCACAGGAGGAGGGCGGGGCTGCGCACAAGCGCACGTGAAGACGGAACTTCGCACACCGAAGGACGTGTGTCTACGCGGGTGCCCTTCTGTGGGTGATAAGGGAACGCTCTCTCCGAAAAGACTATCTGCTGTCAGCGTCACGGGGCCACGACCCCCACGAAGGACTTCGACTGTCGCACACGCTCTCAGTTTAATTCGAATGAATCGCTCACGAGAGCCAGATATTATATATATATATATACACATACATACCAGCTCCTAACTCATGCCGTCGACACCATTGAGGCGGTGGGCGGGAGGCTTGCCCACTACGACATGCCAGATCATGATTGGGAAGGCACATGGGACGCTGTGAGGACTGCACAAACGTTGATATTACCTACGCTTCCCTAACGCATGAATTCGTGGTTTCTCAAATGCACATGCACGATCTGTCTTTGGCCTCGAAGAAAAAACGAAACCAAAATGATCGATGACCCTCCGACGATACGTGTACTTCCACAAAGCCATCTGACACACTCAAACCAATCCTGGTCCGCACACGGAAAACGCTGGCGCCACCCGACCGCGTCTGTGACCACTACTGCGCCGAAGGGCGTTACCCGTGCCAGGTCTACCGAGACTTAATACCCGTGGAGCCACCAGACCCGAGTGGACTGCCACGGCTCCAGCGAGCGCGGAAATGCCCGAACGACCCCACCTCCAAATGCATCCGCCACCGTGCCCTGAGGCACGAGATGGAGTGTCCTAAGATCATTCGGATTTCTCCGCCCTCAGTTCCGGGTGGGCAAATCCGCCGATCCGGCGCGTGAGTTTCTGAGAGCGTGGACTTGAACTCGCTCAAGCTTCGCTCTGCAGTGGAGGGGGGGACGCCATTCGCGACGCCATTCCCGACGCCATTCAGCGCTCGGGAGCCCAGGCGGGGGTCGCTCTGCAAGGGGGGGGAGGGGACGCCATTCCCGACGCCATTCAGTGCTCGGGAGCCAGGAGGGGCGAGGGTTCGCTCTGCAAGGGGGGGGGAGGGGAAACGCCATTCCCGACGCCATTTCCGACGCATTTAGTGCTCGGGGGCGAGGGGCCCACACCATTCAGGGAGAGGGGGGCGGACGCCATTCACAACGCTTTCCCGACGGATTCAGTGCTCGGAGGCGGGGGGGCCCAAGCCATTCAGGGGGGGAGGGGAGGGGGGGGGGGGGGGCATTCCCGACGCCAACCCCGACGCATTTAGTGCTCGGGCACGGGGGTGCCCACGCCATTCCAGACGCCGTTCCGACGCTCTGACCATGGAGGGGAAGGGGGGGGGGGGGGGGGCGACGCCATTCCAAACGCCATTCCTGACGCATGTCGTGCTCGCAAAACGCCTCCAACACGCCCCAATAGGTACCCAACCACGTGCGAAGAGAGACCCACGAGGTCGAAATCGTCAAATTCCGATGGGAAACATACATTTTTACCCCATGCACATTTCGGCCTTCACGACGTTGCCGACGGTCCCAGAGGCCCCCGAGACCGAGTTAAGACGGCTCAAAAGGCCCCCAAGACGACCCCAAAACGGCACAAGAGGGCGCCAAGACGGCCCAAGAAGCGGCCAAGCCGGCCCAAGAGGGCTCCAAGAATGCCCCAAGAGGCTTCCCCAGGTCCCTTGCTCAATCCCATGGGCCTCAGTCCTCAAGTCTGAAGGCTTTAAGTAACCCCTAGGAAAGCAGCATTAGTAGTAACAGTAACGCTAAGCTAATGCTAAGCTAAAGCTAAGCTAAAGCTAAGCTAAAGCTAAGCCACAGCTAAGCTAAAGCTAAGCTAAAGCTAAGCGAAAGCTAAGCTAAAGCTGAGCTAAAGCTGAGCAACAGCTAAGCTAAAGCTAAGATAAAGCTAAGCTAAAGCTAAGCTAAAGCTAAGCTAAAGCTAAGCTGACTAAGCTAAAGCTAAGCTAAAGCTAAGCTAAATCTGAGCTACAGCTAAGCTCAAGCTAAGCTCAAGCTAAGCTAAAGCTAAGCTAAAGCTAAGCTAAAGCTAAGATAAAGCTAAGCTAAACGCCAAGCGACAAGCTAAGCAAAACGCTAAGCTAAAGCTAAGCTAAAGCTAAGCTAAAGCTAAGCTAAGGCTAAGCTGAAGATAAAGCTAAAGCTAAAGCTCCCAGGGGACTGGGGGGAACCGCTCCCAGGGGACTGGGGGAACCGCCCGGGGCGTGTTCCACTGCCCGGCCCCTTTAAGCTAAGAGAGTAAGAACCCTTCTAGGCAGAGCCTAAGTAGGGAATCACCGAACGGACGGTCCATCACGCCAAAGATGGCCCTAAGACGGCCCGAGAAGCTTTCGAGAC